GTTGTGATAATTGCTGTCTATGTCGATGATCTTAATATTATTGGGACTACAAATGAAATTCAAGAAGCAGTCACTTTACTAAAAGGCGAATTTGAAATGAAAGATCTCGGACAGACCAAATATTGTCTCGGCTTGCAAATAGAACGAGTCCAAAATGGGATATTTGTCCATTAATCTAATTACACTAAAAGTATTGAAACGATTCAATATGGACAAGGCTAATCCGCTTAGTACCCGAATGGACAATCGAACATTAGATGTTGAAAAGGATCATTTCGACCTTGTGAAGAAGAAGAAGAAATACTTGGTCCTGAAATACCATATATGAGTGCAATAGGAGCCCTTATGTATCTTGCTAATTGCACCAAACCAGATATATCTTTCGCTACCAAATAATTAGCAAGATATAACTCGGCACCTACAAGGAGACATTGGAATGGAATCAAGCATATATTCCGTTATCTCCAAGGGACAATCGATTTGGGATTGTTTTACTCTAATGATAAAAAAACATGAAATAATCGGTTTTGCAGATGCAGGATATCTATCGGACCCCCATAAAGCAAGATCTCAAACCAGCTATGTTTTCACGATTGGTGGAACTGCATTTTCTTGGCGCTCTCAGAAACAAACATTAGTTGCGACGTCTTCAAACCATGCTGAGATCATTGCACTTCATGAAGAAACTAGGGAAAGCATCTGACTCAGAAACATGACTCAACATATTCAGCAAGCCAGTGGACTATCGAATAATAATGACCCGACGGTGATATTCGAAGACAATGCAGCATGTGTCGCTCAAACCAAAGAAGGATACATCAAGAATGACAGAACTAATCATATCTCGCCAAAATTCTTCTCATATGCTCAAGAGCTTGAAAGGAACAAACAAATCAAAGTTCAATACGTTCGATCAAGCGATAATGCAGCAGATTTATTTACAAAGGCACTTCCGACGACAATATTTCGAAAACACGTCCACAACATTGGAATGAGACATCTTTGGGACTTGCACAAATGATAACTCTAGGGGGAGTATGTGCGGCTGTACTCTTTTTTCCTTATCTCGATTTTTTTACCACAGGTTTTTTCCAGATAAGGTTTTTAACGAGGCATCATAAACACACATTTAATAGTGGTAATTCCAAAAGGGAGAATTATGATAAGTGGAATTTACCACTAATTACAATCTTATCATGTGAATTATTATTATATGTATTGAAGTGTGTGCCAAGACCCTTAGAATTTGTCTATAAAAGGGCCAAAAGGGATTGTAATTTTGAGCACAAAAGAAGTGAAAGAAAGAAAGCATCTTATAATTTTTATTCGGTTTTTACATTATATTCTTTACCTTTCCCGCATTTTATAACATTGACAATTTTTTTAAGATTTTTGCATCTCATATGAACGCAAAAACTCAATCAAGTCAATAAATAATTGGCGTATTATCGCGTTATCAGCATAATAAAAGTCAGCAAAGTCGGAATTGGACTCCACCACGATTTCAGTCATTCCCTTCCAAACACTTTTAAAATCTCAATTGAATACCGTAAAATTTACATGTACGTGCCATGAAGCCATCGTCAACACAAATACCCATTCAAAGTCAATAAATTATTGGCGTATTTCATTGTCAGCAAAATAAAAAGTCATCAAAGTCGGCATTGGATTCCCTACAATTTCAGTCTAATATACAAATTTTTCCCTTCCTATTTCAATATTTAGACGAAAAAAAAAAAAAAAAAAAA